CAAGGAGTAGAATAAACCAGCCCAATTCACCCAGATGCCAGTGCTCACAGCCTTGTGGGTGTAGTGCAGATATTCCTTAAATTAAATTGTTGCTAACCAGCATCCCTAGCTCCTTAACTCTGCAGGCCAAGTGACCACAAGCCTTCACTTTATTGCTGTATCTCAGCTCCCACTTCACCTCACCTCCCCACCCACTTGCCACACAATTTTTTCCGCCAGATTTATACTGTCCCTGCCCTTAAAGGTTTCAGAAAAGGCAAACTAATTTCCTACAGAGATAGGAACTAGTGAGCTGAGGACCTCTGCCCTTCAGAATCCTCCTCTGAAGAGAAAGATGACAGTCCATGACTCTCTCAATAACTTGGTCTTAAGGAAAGAGCAGTTTTTGACACAAAACTTGTGTCATGCACACCAGAGTTATGAAAGCTATTTCCTTTTATCCTATTTGCCATCTGGAAACTGGCAAAGAGACAGCACTGCTCAGGACAATATCTAAGACATGAGGCTTACAGAAGCTTCTCGTCCCACCTCTTGGTTACATCCCTGCACAACAGTACAGAAGCTCTCAAAGACTTTCAACACACCAGATTTTGAGTAAAGCATCATGACGTGGCACTCAGCTCTACTTTTACTCCATTTCTAAGGGCAGCTGCTTTTCTGTTTTTCTTTGCGCATCTGTGGACAACAAAATCTTTTCTCTCTCACAAGAATGTCTTCATTAAGTCAGTTTCTGCCTTCAGCTTATTCTTGTGCATACTATAATCTGTGTATATGCACAAGAAAGGCTTGAGAAGCAGACTGAAAAAACAGGAAGCTGGAATAAACAATGAGGCAGGAACTGTGGGAAACTTTAAGCATCTTTTCTTGCCCTTATTGTGCTGCCTTCCTTTTCATTTTTGTTACTGCTGAATTTAGGATTCCTCCTACATTTGTATGAAACATGATTTCAATATTCTTTGTTTTGTGACCTCTTTCTGAAGCAATATGACATAGCACATCTAATACAGTGACCAGGCACAAAGTCAAACAACTCTGAGTTCAACTACTATCCTGAACACTGGGTTTCATATCAGATTTGCCAAATTTACATAATATTTTTTTACACTTAATGTTGTACAGTGAGTAATAGAAAGGTCCTAAATATCCACCAATTCAGCTCTCTGCACTGAATATTCCATCTGCCTTTGCACAGGTGGTAGGATAGAGGGGGAAATTGCATTTTAATGTACAAACCACCCAGTAATCCATGCACCAAACATGTCCCATTCATGAATGTCCCTCATTCATTCATCACTCATTTTTAAAGGAATAACATCCTTTTAAAAAATAAATTACGAAACAATAACATTTGCTAGCTGACACTGAATTTACTTCATAAAACAAGGAAAGTTTGAAGAATTTTCAAATTCTTCAAAGAAAGAAAGAGAGGAGTTAAACATAGATAGAGAGTAGTAGTTTCAGCCCAAATCAACAAAATCCCTTTTTAGCACCTTGAAAAATACCTATTTAATGATCAAATTTTTTAATCAAGATAATTGCCCTTACACATCTTTTCCTATCCTTAAGTGTTTAACAAGAAACATCTTAGGCTCTCCTTAGCTCTACTACTTCTAAAGCTTCTAACTGTAAGCAAAGAATCAGATTATGTTGTGAATTGCAACCCTTTCCCCTCATGTTAAAGCTTTCCTGTTTGCATTGCAGAAAGACTTTTTCCTACCTTTAATTTTCTGTGCTTTTAAAGATTAGAGTAAGAAAGCATCTACTACTCTCAACATTTCACTAGAGATCACCTGGCCTTTTAGTTTGGCTGCACCAGGGGAGGTTTAGGTTGGATATTAGGAAAAACATCTTCAGTGCAGAGGTGGTCAATTCTACTACACACCATGGCATTTCAGCCCACCCAAACAATATCTCAGCCCAGTTCTCCACCCTGTCTGAAAAATATATCCATTAAGTCACAGAGATAAGCTCTGAAAATGCACAAGAAAAAAGCCACATTCAATTCTATTCCTAAACTCAACTTCCTCAGCACAGCAAACACTGCCTGGATGTCAGGCAAAATAAGTGAAGGTTTAACTTAAGTCACCTTTAAAGGCTGCTGCTAAGAAGACACTAAATAAAATCTTGTAAGTTTACATATTTTCAGCACCAAAATAGAAAGAAAGATGGGTTTTTACTTAAATCCACCTGAATACTTGTTTTATGGATGGAATGAGAGTTTATGATTTAAACCTCTATTATTAGCACTGCATTTTATTTATCTGTAATTTCATGAAAGACTCCATTTTGTTATTTATCTTTCCTGGTCCAAAGGTGCTACTGAATCTTCATATAAAATAATTTTCCTATACAAATGGACACTTACATTCTCTGCTGGTTCATAGGTTAACAGCAGGCTCCACCTCCGACATCTGTATGGGCAATTACTATTATATTTTCACAACCTATTGTTATTTTTCTTTCTGCTCAGCACAGAACAGACACAAGTAAGAACAGTAACTACGCAAGAGCAAAACCTGAGAGAAAGAAGAGATCCAACAAGAAATGGAGGCCACTATCTGACATTTTAAAAGGGCAAATCGAAAGCAATCAACACCCAACAAAACGCTCAGTGTAAGATGAGGTGATAGCTTACGATATACTTAGGGTGGTGTAATGAGGCTAACAAGTGCTGTGTGTTTTAATGTAAATTAACACAAGATAATCTCTTCACATATTTAAGTGATGCACTTCAAGTTAATTAATACATATTTAATAGAAGTCTTCTTGAACAGCTGTTATTTACTTCTGGAGTTTCTACACATTAGCACTGGCTGCTTTGTTCTACTCTGAAGTTGTTCATGCTCCAAAGTACTTTAACAACTTGGGATGTATAAAAATTGAACAGTCTTCCCAAAAAGAGTCAGCCTTTCTGACAACTTAATATTTTCACGTTAAATATTCAAACACTTGCTGAACAAAAGGTCAAATTCTACTTACAGCATCTGTGTGAAACAGGCAAGCAGATGCTTAATGCTGCTAGACAAATACTTTTGGCACAAAGAATGATACAGAGCTGGTGATCAGTCACATTTTCAGGCTTGAAAATCAGCTCTCCTTTACTTCTGTTCCCTAAATTCTGCACTTACCTTTCATATGTAACAACACAGGCCCAAATTATGACCTGTTCCTTCCACAAGTGCTGGTGTTCCTTACACAGTGCTGTGCTACATGAAATCCTGGCAGTGAAAGTGCTGTCTACAGTATTCACTGCATTTTTATGAGTATTACGCCAACTCATTGAGGCTTCTGTCTTAAATAATACTGCCTTTAGACCTTGCATACACCACTGAGGAAGTTCTCACCCCCTCCTTCTATTCAGATGAGAACCCATTTGAATTTAGGCACTTCTGAGTTTTTAGGATGTAAGTAGGAACCAATTCAGGAAACACACTGGCAAACACAAAATTCTTATACTCACAGTGGTAAATGTGACTTTTGACAACAGACACCAGTTTCTTTGACAACAACTATCACCACTGAACAATCCTTATCAGTGCATCTGTTGTAGTTTTCAGCTGACTGAAGATTTTTATTCTTGTGGCACTAGAGCACCAGTGCTCACTACTTGCATGTCAGCCTTTCAAACTCACAGGTTTACTGAAAATAACTTCCAAAGCTGGTAACAATTGTATTAGTGCATAGCTATTGGGACAGCCTTCACTACATCTTCTGTGCAATGCTGTATGGAAACATACTCAAAACAATCCTAAATGCACAAAGATCAAACACATATACTGATTTAAGCAGACTGATATTACTAGTATCTAAGTGAATTTATTTCACTTTAATATGGTGTTTTTCACAATACAGAGGATATAAAATAACATTTATTACTCAGGCTAAGTACTGTAAGACTAGATCAGATCATTGCTTTACCTGGCAAAGATGGTGTGGCTGTGTGGAATACAAATTCAAAAAGTATCTTCATGATCCTTAAATAATTTTGCACTGCCTCTACCAGCAGCCTGGAGAGCTGCAGATGCAAGGACTGAGGAAGATGACCTCAATTCTCCCTTCCCCACTCCCAGAGTGTGGCTGCTACAAGCTGGGTGAGGTTCCAGCTCAAATCAGTCTCCTGAGCCCTGTAAGGCCACAGGGATGGGGTTGGGATACAACTGTTGGTTCTGAGGGAAGCACCACCATAAAGATTGAAAGTGCCTGTGTAAATGTGCACTTTGACAAAGCAGTGCCAGCCACGACAAACAGGCACCTGAAAGGATTCCTGTGCATTGGAGCTGTGTCAGCACATGTAGGAGAAAAAGGGAGAAAAGCCATGGCTGCCACAGGACCTAATGAACATCTTTTCCAGCAGGGCAACACACCAGAGAGATTTAATTCCTTTTGATGGGAGTCATGTAGGAAACAGACCCGTGCAGAAAAAAGAAACTCAAGAAGACAATATTATACTGTGACGTTCTGGAATCAGCCATACTGTGATGTTCTGGAATCACCATTGTGTTAACAAAACTAAGTATCTTGAAAAATCTTTTTCTCTTTGGAAGGAGGATGTATCTTGTTCAGAGAAGCATGGGTGCTCTGCCAGCTGCCACAAAACCCATGTTTGTATAATTTCTTTGATATCCACAATTTAACCTTCATTGGCATCAGCACAAACCTGATGTATACACATGAAGGAAAAAGAGAGACCACAGAGGACAAACTGAGCTCCCAGTACCAAGGAATGAAAACAAACACCCACATTTTGTGCAGCCATGACATAACAGGCATTCCTTGGGTTCTTTTAAGATTCCTTAGAGTTAAAGGATCAAATTCAAAGGGCATCTCTTACAACATACACGGTGAAACTAATATTTTTCCTTTACGTTTTACAAGAAAAATAAAAATCTCTCTTTACCTGTGGCTTTGGTAGAAAGGTTCCTATTGTAATTATACCTTGTGTATTCCAAGAAAGTTTTTTGCATCACTATTACTAGTCTAGAGAGGTACAAAGCTGCAGGTGCTTGCTGAAAAATAATAAAACCTTTATTAAAATTTCCAGGTTTTGCAAAAGCATTTTGACTACATTCCAAATCTACTTAAAATGTAATTAAATATTTACATTCATTCTCTAATAAGTATTGTAAGTAAATCAATACCCCAATTATCTTAAATTTTTGTGTGGTATTACAAAAATGTAGCAATTGTATAAATGCATAATTCTAATGAAAATATAATGATCTTGAACTTTAAAAGAGCCCTTCATTTGGAGAGATGAAAGTGCTGTACATTCTTTCATTCATTATGTCTTATGGCCCCTGTGTGATGTAGGTGCTATTATCATCATTTTACAGATGGGGAAACTGAAAGGCTAATTAACTTGTCCAATTTACAACACTTTCAGCTGTAAACTTAGGGCATCCTATTGTACTTAAAGGCAAAACAGAACTCTGCTCACCTGTGATGAACATTTTCTAAAAATTCTTAAACTCCGTAAGCATTTAACTTACAGGAGAGAATATCTCACACAAGACTTCGGAGTTGGCTTTGCATTGATGGCAGCTTTGAGCACCACAGAAATGTGCTGCCTAGGAGCAAATATCAGAGCACCAGGTTATTGTGAAGTATATCATCAAGCTTCCCAGCCAATTATGGAGATGATGTGCATTTTTATTTGGTATTATTTGCCATTTGGCCACGCATTTGTGCTTTAATTCCGTAGGACGTACCACACTGCAAACAAACATTTCTACAAACAAACACAAACAAACAGTGTTTGCTGACAAACTCATTCCCTCAGTTTACTTTTGTGTTCCATGAATTTCTTGACTCAGTCAGGATCAACAGCATTTGCCCAATATCCTTCTTTCTTGAAATACAAACCAATTATTAGAGCATCTGCATCCAAGTAATTCCTCACATTCTCCAGAGTCACTCCAGACCCAACCAGCACAGCAATCTTCACAGCATGCTTTACCTCTGAGGAGAAAACCAAAATCAGGGTTAATTCCTGTCTTTGAAATCCTCTCCATAAAGACTCTATAATTTGCCAAGTTTTTAAACAGGAAAAAAAAAATGTATTGAGAAATTTGTGATTGTGGTATTTCTACTGCAGACTAAAACAGGTTCTCTAGAAAAAACACCTTTAGCTCTAAAGAGACAAAAAAAATCTTACTATTTACATTCTGTTGTCTGGAATGCTTCTTGTATTTCCTTGTATGAAAGAGAGCAGGGATTATACAGGTACCTGACAGTTCAGCTAGTTTTTCCAGAAAGCAAAAGCCAGAAATAGACGTGGTCTTTTATCAGTATGAGGAATGACAATGGAATAAAAAAGCCTCTTTATTTTTCCTATATACAGTGTTACTTACTCATCTGAGCTTTTTTTACCTGGTTTCAAGAGGAGAAACAGACAAACACAAGGCTCAAAATACAGTATTAGCTTTGGGAGGAGGAAAAAAAAAAACAAACCCCAGTTCAAAGCATCCTTCTCATCATTTTATGTCAAACTGACCATCCAAAGAATGACTCATAGGACTGGATGCTTCATCCCTTAGAGGAATTTTGTGAGCCATTATTTCTGACCTTTAAAAACATATAAATTGGCTTAATTAGTGATAAGCTGATGGTAAGGTAGTTATAGCTTGAGGTAACTAGGGAAAGCACACATGAAACAAATAAAAGTCTGCTTCAAAACACTGTTTAAATGAAATTTCATCAGAAGCCTAACTTATTAATTATGCTTCAGGGAAGACTAATTATTTATCACCTTCCTACTTCACTGAAGAAAGGGGATCAATTAAAATGTTCTTGAATCTCTTTTTAGGTGACATGCTCTACCATTTTTCCATATAGGAACAATAACTCCCTCTTAAAAAGATTTTAACACAAGAATAAAATCATTGTTTTGAATTTCATGGATTTCAACCATTCAACAGAGCCCTTCCTGAAAATGTACAACAAATAAGATGGCTCATGCATATATGATTAAAACTTATTTCATTGCATATTTGATATTCTTAGTCATTCTGCTTACAGCAGAAAATAATTAATTTCTAGTTACTTATAGCATTATCATGAATATCCTGTTCTAAAAACCAGGATATTTATTTTAAATTTTAATTTTTATTTATATTAAATTTTATTTATATAATATCTATATGCTCTTAGAATATTTTATCTGCTTTACCTCAATACCAGCACCTGACCAGAGGTGCATCTGACCAGAGATTTGTGACAGCACTTGACTGAATCCCCAAAGGAATCAGGCTCCAAGTCAATATTTGTTCTTACAAGTGCGTACAGCACGTTAGCAGGGAGTTGTTTCATAATTATTTCACATCAGCAGGAAAAACAAAGAGACAGATAATTAAACAGAGCAAGTTCATATGGGTCTGAGACAACAGCTCAGCCCTGCTGGGCAAAGGGAAAAACTCAGTGAAACCTGAGACTGATCTGAAACTCCAGCACAACCTAAAGCCTTCCAAAGTGGGAAGGTATCAAGTGCTGCTGTGATCCACACATGGCACACAGACTGCACACACATCTCCTGGGCTGGAGATCTATTCAGAATGACAATGTGAAGAATGGCAAAGGGACTGCTCAGTGTGCACTGAGATGTGTTACCTCACTAAGGATGCTACAGATGCTACTTTTAAGTCCTTTCCAAGCACATCAGGGCCTAAAGTTGATTAGTAGAAGGTGATTTGTCTATTGGCTGTGCTAATACAAATTCTAACCTGTAAAAGAAATAAAACAACAGCAGTGAGATATGCTTTTGTGTGCCCAATGTTCAGTCACTGTCATAATATCTCTAAACACAGAGCTCTGCTTCAAATCTCTGTTTTCCTGGCATTCTTTTTTTTTTTTTTTTTTTTTTCTCCCCACAGTGAGAAAAAGGAAAATTTTGTGATGTTACAGTAACAAGATGCTGAAGTTTACACGGATTTATCTGTTCCTGCAGACTGTAACTAGAGGGCACTATGCTCTTTCTTGTGGCAGCACAGCTGCACACAGGTCTTTAATAAAACCCAATGAAATCGTGCTTGGTTGCAAAGCACAATAAAAGCATTTGAACTACGTTATGCACAAGTTTAATGAAATAAAGACCAAGCACTCCTAGCTTGAAAACAGTGGCAAAGAGTGGTGTAAAAATAAGCACCACTGTGCCAATAACTTGCTCGACTACTCTTCCTTAACAGCTTTCTCATTGCAGTGATCACTATACCATACACAACACTGTTTATGGCAATGCTCCCCTCTTAACACATTTTAGATTTTTAATTCAAAGGACTTTTTCTCTGTCATTAAATTTAGAGCTTAAACAGGAGATGTGAGTGATCAGCACTTTTTCTATCTCAGAGGGTATCACACAGGCAGCAGCCTCTATTTTGGCCATCAAAAGATGAGAGGGGGTGAGCCTCAGTCTTGAGGCCCCTTTTATGAACAGTAATTAAGGAGGTGACAGTCACAGCCAGCTGTTGGATTTCATTATGTACCTGTTTTCCACAGGTTACTCAGCTGAGACACTTTGTTTTGTTCATAGAGATAACTGAGCAGTCATTATGCACAGCTTTGGTCACTCAAAATACAAACTGAATGCAAAGCAGGTATTTCAGCAGTTACAGCCAAAGAAAAAACCTGATGGGTTCAGACATCCAACCAAAGAACATTCCACAAGGCAGCAAACTGGAACTGCTATAACCTCTTAGATGAAAAGATGGTTTATTAATGAATTCAAAATGCTCAGCTATAATTCTTGCTCCTTAACAACATGAAGCCTGATTTTACAGAACTCGTACTCCATTGATCTCTGGTGCCCTGAGTGCCCAGGCAGCCCTGGAGCAGAGCCTGGCAGCCTCCAGAAGGCAGCAACACAACCTGCAAACAAAACCTGACTGAACGCAGATCTCTGCCTTGACAGGGAAACACTTCCCACAGCCCATCACAAATCAATCAATTCTACACAAAGACAAAACCACTTCTATATTACTGCACAACAAAGCTGAAAAAGAGACATGACAAAAATCTCATCTGTCTCTCAGCTTTGCTTTCAAGAGCTGCTTTGCAGTGTGATGAAAGGTGCCCAATTGTTTCACCGTAATACGGCACTGCCAGGGCTGCATAAATTCCTGAAATGCAAAATCTCACTCACATCAACACCAACTTTGTAGACTGCAGATTTGATCCCTTTTAAGAATCTCCTGACATAGATATGCCTAATTTGTCATTTTTTTGTACTCTGGAATTTTTAAGTTCTTCTCTTACCTGTTTTAAGACATCTTTCTCATGAGAGGGCCTGCTAACATCCAAAATGCTGTGATCTAAGTACAAAAAACCCATGATCTGCACACTCCTGCTTTTATAACACAAATCCAAACACAGAATTAATGTGTACTTCATTACAGCTGCCAACTCTGATTCATTTTGTTCTTTGGACCCAGAAAGAGAAAGAGACAGGGACTGACAAGTTTGTTCACATGAAAGAAAAGCAGAAGCTATGATTCTGGCTGGCTGGGGTCCTGTGACAAAAATGCCTCTAGGCCTACAGGTCAGGTTTTGCTCTCTGATGCAGTAAATCAATGGAGGTTGCATGTGAATATGGGAAAGCAGAATTTAACCTAGGATTTTGCCCAAAGACGTATCAAATATTTTTTAAAAGTTATTTGATCTCCATTAGTAACAGTGGAGACATTAAGTACAAACAGGGATGGACATCTAGACTAACCAAATTTTGCAATCTCTAAAACAGGCATAGCTTCCAGTATCACCTGTTCCATTTCTCATTTCTAATTTGTTGTACCAAAAGACCCAGCTAATTCAAGAGGCTCAGTGTTCACACCAAGCCATCATTTTCTTTTTAGCATTGGTGACTGAGGCATAGCAATTTTTTAATGTTTCTTTTTAGCAAAAAGTTTAATATTTTTAAAATGTATATGAAATAACCATTTTGACAAGTTCAACATTCATTTTAAATGCTCTTAAGCATGTGTGATATACATAAAGCCCTGAAAACATTGAATGATTTTATATTGTTTCAAAAGATATAAAAATACGACACAAAAAATACAAATACAACCTGTTGAGGTCCAGGTTATCTCTAACAGGTAAAATGTGTTTTTCATGCTGATCCTCTAATTTAAGCTGAATACAATACAGTGCACTGGAATTTCAAAACATGCCAAGTTACAGTGTGTTGGGCAAAGTAAAACCTAAAAAAAATATATATTCTATTTTATGTAGTGAGACATTCAAATTCAAGCCATTGATCTAAATTAAAAGTAGTGATGAAAACTAAATGTCCCCATGATAGAACTTTAATTCTAGCATGGGAGCAATACTGTTTCATGAACACAGCCCAAACTCATGCTAATATAAAAATATCAAGAATCATAGCACTTCTGCAAAGGTCAGAACTCATAGGTCAAATGAGTCTCTCTTGACAGAAGTCCACACTATTTAAAAATTTTGATGCTAATATCTTCCTGTCTACCAATGAATTTGTATTCTTACTGAAAATCTTCCAAGCAGTACTTTCCCTAGTATTAACATTTGGAATGTTGCCTTATCAAAATGCTCCTTTTCTTGCAGGAATTCCATTTCCATTGTGAAAGATAAAAACATTTAACTCTTCAATGGAAACATTTATAATTAGCTAGATAGTTTAATATGGCTAGTTTTAGTATAGCTAGTTTTCTAGGGTTATAAAGCAGCTTTCTCTTATATTAGGGCACTTTACAAATGAAATAGTATGTTCTTTCAGCCTCAATCAGTGTTACAAAAGCTTGGAATAATTGTGATTTTCGCCCTGCCAAGCTGTTGTATAGAAACACACCACAGCCCATCTAAGTAACACCTCAAATAG